AAACCAAATCCAACCACAGAGAGAACGGAGAAAGGAGAGAAGAACAGAGAGGACCGTCGCACCGTCACCCATCAACGTCTCGCACAGTCCCCTATCACAGTCGCACCGTCGCCTATCATCATCACCATCACCATCACCATCATCGTTGCTCTGTGTGTATACACAGATCTGTGTATACACACATAGGTTTGTGTGTACTCTGCCTCTCTCTTCTCTATTTCTTCCCTCAATCTCTCTCTCTCTCTCTCTTTGTTCCCCCTCCTTCCTCTCTTTCTTCTCTCTTCCTCTCTCTTTCTCTCACTCTATGTTTTCCTCATTCCCTCTATTTCAGAGATAAAAAAGGAAAAAAAAAAAAAAAATTCCCAAAACGACGTCATTTTGGACAGTCGAGCCAAAGGTATTTAGAGCTACGAAACATTTCTCATATATTTTAGGGTAAATTACATTGATACTCTCTCTATTCTTTTAAAACTACACTGACACCTCTTATTTTCTAAAATCACACTGACACCCCTATTAGCTAACTTTATTGACTGCCATGATAAAATATCCATAATGCCCTTACCTCTCACCATTGCCACCTCCAGCTTCTAATACCCATATCTACCACCAGCCACCTTCCTCTATCATAACCACCACTGATCACACATCACCCTACCATAATCCACCACCATTGTCTACCTTACCATAACCTACCCCATTCATGAATTCTCTGAAAGCTATTTATGATCCACTCACCTATGCTAATTCTTATCTCTTAAAAATTGTTAAATCAACTATAAACATAATGCAAAGTGATGAGTATTAATATGGAGAATTTTATCATACACATCTCTTATTATATGTACCTTTCGTTATATCATTTTCATCTGTAGTTATGACTAATTTTCTTTTTTAGTTATGACATTATTTTAAGATTTTGGTTATGTCTCATGTAGTTTTTTTTGAGCTTATGTCTCATGTAGTTTGGTTATGATTTTTTTATTTTTATTTTTAGTTATAATTTAAAAAGTATGAATTATGTCATTTTTTTATTTAGTTATTAGTGCATATGGTGCACACTGTGTGCACCATAGTCTTTCCCGTATTAACATACATGGCATTAGAATTGATAATATATTTCGTATTCAAACCTTACCATCTACTCGATAATTAAAGCGCTAAGCTTGCACGTATATTTACGAGAAAAGTCTCACCACATGTGGACATGTTGAGAATATTGTTGGAAATAATAGTTTAAAAGTGTTTCAATTAAACAATATAAGAGGTTATTTTGGGAATTAGATATTTTAGTTATCTTTTTGACATTTTACGAAAAGATGTGTAAAAAAGTAGAGAGAATAGTTAACTTTTTTATGGTGACTTTTTAACTTTTTAACTATTTTAAGTGGTTCTTAATTTTGGAAATGCAAATGAATATAAAATAAGGAAAAAAAAAATCTTATCAAATTTCAACTGAGGTTCAAAACTAAATTGGCTGTCCTTGAAAGCAATTTTGTTCCCACTTGAAAGTGTCTTTGGTGAAGATAGATTTTGACAATCATCTGTTAGGATTCAACGGCAGGACTCACTACAAGAATTTACACAATTGCCGACCACTTTTGCCGACCAAAAAAATTTTGGTCGCAAAAAAATAACATTTGGCGACCAAATATTAATTAGTCGCGAATGATCATTATTTTTGGCAACCAAATATTATTGGTCCCAGAATGTTATATTTTGGCGACCAAAAAATGAGTTGGTCGCAGAAAGTGGTATGCTTTTGCCGACCAATTACAAATTTGGTCGCGGAAGGTCACATTTTTTTTGGCGACCAAAAATTTGGTCGCCAAAAACTTATTTTCAGCGACCAAAAAAATTAGTCGCCAAATTAATACATTTAGCGACAAATATTTTAGTCGCCGTTGATTGAGATTTGGCGACTAAAAAGATTTGTCGGCGAAGGTACCTTTTCTGCGACTAATATTTTCGTCGCCAAATATTAATGAAATTTTTTTACTTTGGATCTTTGCCGACCAAAAATGTGGTCGGCAAAATACTTATTTTTAGAGACCAAAAAAAAATTAGTCGGTAATAAAGTTAAACAATTTCAAAAACACAGATTCATGTTTTTGGTGGGAATACACTCTTACATTACCGCCCAATTTATTTTCTATCAATATGTACATAGACCCAAATAAGTTCAGTCTCTTGCTCTCTCTGTTTCTCCACTACTACAAAAATAGTTAAAGATCACACTTTGACAAAAAAAAAAAA